CCCCCCCCCTCCGCCGCCCACATCGATATCTTCGGCGGCGGTCGGTTCTTCCTCGGGATCGTTTTCCTCCTCTGCCGGGAGGAGCCCTCCCTTAGGCTCGTGGAGGTAGGACAGGGAAACATAGTGCTGGTCGAGTTCCTTTCCGCCGTGCCCCCGAAAGGAACCGATTATCACCGCGAAGCTGAGTCTCTGCTCATGGTCTACCAACCTTAAGCGGCAAGTAGCGATTTCGAGGCACCGGTCCGTTAGGCGGGGCGTTGTTTGAAACATTCATCATTGGCGAGACAGGATGCTTGATAAAAATAGTCGAAGAACGTGAGTCTATTGCTGCTATGTATGCCTACGAGTCGGCACTTGTGTGCACGATCTGCGAGACAGGTTCCTGTTTCATGTTGCGCGAGACGAAACGGGGGTCGGAGTAAAGCGCAGACATTCATGTCATTGCACTGACATGAATCTGTAATGTTTCATGCAAGCAACAAGAAGTTTCAATCCACTTACTGAAAAGACTTCACCACATCCCTTTCGACTGAGGTTATATCTCGAACGGGTAGTCTTTCTGTGAGGTTCGTTTCATTCCTAAAACTAAGAAGGGGATACGCGAATGATGATGCTACCGAGGCAAATATCAGTACCGACGTATGTATCCGGCATACTGCTGTAGTCTACGTGAACACCGACCGAACGACCCGATCAAGGGCCTTTCACGGCACCACTGCAACTACATGTGTTTCGTGTTGAAAGTTGAAAACAATAGCAAAACGTTCACTGTCACGCTACGCCTTCCACCACTTTAACCCACCGAATAAACCATCCTTCAAAAAATGGCTGACGGGTAGACTTGGGCGGAGGTCGTGGGTCGAATGGAGACGCCTCTACCACCGTCGGTGACAAGCTTAGCGTCCCGCCCCCCAACAAGACGGAGCCGATCATAACAGCCAGGGCACTATTGAACGTAGAGCCGGGCGCAGGCGATACTCTTCTCGCTGCTTTGTTTGGGGCCAACACCGACGTGGCTTTCGCCTTCTTTCCCCTGCTGAGCCGCCGTGCTAGCCACGGCGGCGACCAGGCTGTTCTTCGCGTCGTATTCGTTGCACTGCTGCCCGATTCTCCATGTCGAGCTCCGCCTCGAAGCGACCTCAGCATCTTCTTCCCGCCGGGCGTGAAACCGACTCCCTCTCCGACCCGTACGCTGGACAAAACTAGCATAGTGCAAAACAGCGCATCCCACATCTTTTTTTGTGGGTGCCGTTCGCCGCCGTGGCATGGTCGCTCTGCTCTCCTCCTGTGTCCCGCTCTCCTGTTCATGCATGTGGGCGTTTCCGATTTGGGCACCCGCAGAAGAAGCACCAGATACTACCTCGACATAGCCTGCATGGGCACAATGACGGGTACCCCACCAAATCTTTGTCTGCGAGCCCCCCTCGTCTGTTGCATTTGTAGTCTTCTCTCCACATGCCTCCGCGGCCTCTCCTTGTTCCTGTATTTATCCTCTGTCTCGCACGCGCACGAGCTTCTCTCTAGCTCGTTCGCTGTCGGAATTCCCCAGCCTGAAGTCGGTGCGTAGGTGGCATACAGAAAATGCCGACAGCGTCGATGCTCGCCGAATTCCGGCCGCCTAGCTCGCGGAAAAGACCCCGAAGCCGGACAGTCCAACACGTGTCCAAAAGTGCGGTGCTCTTGCTCTCCCTTCTTCAGCTCACCACGGCGCGCCGGCCAGGAGGAGGAGGTTACCATTATCCATCTGTAACTCCACAGGGATACGACTCACAAGGTTTGTCTCGCGCGGAAACGAGGGCGGAATTCGGCATCACATGTAGGTCATGTTGCACATTTCATCCGTTGACCGCAACGTACGCAATGTCCGCATGCAGGACTCTTGTAATGTATTCGTGTCTCTCATACGCATATCAATGCATACATGTGCTACACAGCGGTGAACAGGTACTGCTGTAGGGTGGGTACAGCAGCACGACAAGAAGCGTTGCTGGTAGGGGGTCAGATCGATGTGTGTGTGTAGGTGGTGGCAATGGGTTAAAGTTACGAAAGGTAGCTGGGTAACACGGTATACATATCGTTCTGTCCTAGGGATACACAAAACAGCCCTGTCGTACAGGCGTGCATAGCAAACACCGATGCCATTATACTTCCCGCTGTTGACCTTGAGAGACACTCTCGTCTCTGCTCGCTTACGGCCAGACTCTTCTTTCGATGGTGGAGACTGGGGCGATTGGAGAAACCAGCCAATACCCGGACCAAAACCACATGGGGTGAGTAACCGCCGAACATCAATTTTAGAAATTTTCCGCTGGTGCAGGATGTCTTGTGCCAAGTAGTAGCGAAGACTTGAACACATCCCCCTTGATACTGCTGTTGTGTGTGTGATGCAAGACCTTGTGGACTACTGTAGAAGTATTATCTCTGAGAATACTACATGTTAAATATCCGAACAGACTATATATCAAAGGACCCCACGGCAGCGACACATGTGTTTTTATCGTGAATCGACAGCCATGCTACAAATGAGGATTTGGGTGGTACATCAAACGTACGCATAGAAGGCAGACTTCAGATCGTCTCCGCGGGCCCATGTTGTGTTTCTACGAGATGTGTTCCCGATGAAGACCAGACATCAGGATTTTTCTGCAGGTTTTCTGGGAGGTGTTTATCGATTTTTATTTTCCGCACGGCAACAACGATGAGGACGAAATAAGCGTGAAGTTTCGAGCACACATCGCCTGCTTAGCACATACGACGTGGTAGCTGGTCTATTGCACCAAATACGTATCTTCGTCGTCGAACGGGGCTTCAGCCGACACCGATCGTCTTGTTCCTGCACTTTTCTTGTCTCGGTGTCGGCGTTGCCATCAGATGCCGTTCAGCCCGCCGATCCACAGGCGGTTCGAACAACCAGAGCCGATGGACGAATTGCGTTCTCTCGCCATCTCGTTGGAAGAGGAGGACCGAGCTGACCTGGGTGGCTACATTGCGGTGGTTCTTCAGAAGCTGGCTAACATGAACGAGCTGTTCTTGGGGGAAAGGGTGTGTTGCGGTGGCAGACGTGTCGTGTTCCTTGTTTTGCAACCCAGACGCTCTCTGTGAGGAGCAAGTCGTCGGTAAAGTAAGCACCACGCCTTCCCGCGCCCAATTGTTCGAGATCCACGTCGTGATGTGGTGCCTGATTGGTGGTGCTGTCTTCGTTACCCAGCGGTTGTGATCGAACCTGGAGGCTGTGTCAGGCTTACTCCCGATATCTTGTCCATAAAGCCGAACAGACAGGCAGTGCGTGGCGTTGGCTGCTTTGAGAGCACGGCCTGGTTGATCTCGTAGAACCGCCTAGGAATAGCAATGTCAATGTTGCCCTGTACCTCGTCGGGCCCAGCGCGTCGTGCCGATACGAGTACGGAGGACCATTTTAACGTCAAGCAGGCCGTTGCCCCTCCGCACACATGTCGTCACCGGCACCTATTCGCTTCCGTGCGTGTTCTGCCCGTGTTCTCCAGGGACGCAAGAAAAGCGTGTTTCATTCTGCGACGATGCCGTCGGTGGCCGTGGCGGAATTTGTGGAGAGAGTCGCCAACAACATCGTTTGCCCGAACGTGTGCCTCATGCTTACCCTCGTGTGAGTTCAGAAGAACGGGATGTGTCACGGCAGTGAAGCCGCAGTGGGGCACGCGAACAGCATGAGGAGCTGCCACAATACTACAAGTCGCGAACGGATGTGTGACGTAACAAGCAAGCGGGTTGGTAGCCAAGTTAGATGGGACCATCTGGCACGGAAAATGGTCACAAACGCGCGTCTCTCGACATGTATCGTACTCTGTGTTGACATTCCTCTTGCACCAGCCAAAAGCCTCGAAAAATGGATCGAAAGTGGCAAGATTGGGGACAATGTCTACGTGCCATCAACCAGCGAGCTCTGTAGCAGTACTTCGTTGTTGTTAGTTTCCACCAGAAAGCAGCATGCCTCTGAACGCTTGGACGGCATCATCCCCGCAGCTGTCTACTGCTCAGGAGGACAGCCCACGTCACACAAAATGACTGCGTGTGGTCTTCGCAGTGCGTAACGTATTGCGACGTTGTTGCCTTGCCGCGTGAACTGACGTGATTGAAACCCAGGTACATGGACCGACTGGCCCTTCCCTCCTCGGAGCTACACCTCTACGTCACCCCACTTACTGCACATCGGCTGTTCACGGCTAGCTTGATCATCGCCATCAAGTTCATCGCCGAGAAGCCTCCATCTGTGTTCAACGACATGTAAGCAACATCCGTCACTCAGCACCTGCCCACGTAATCCAGTTTCGATCTTCTGCGATATCCTCACCCGGTGCTACTGACAGGCTTAAAGTTACGTTGCGAGCTGAAAATAATGCGATTTACCCGCTCTCGTGTTCCTTGTCTGATGGTTATTGCGATACTTGAGCAGGAACATATATTGCGGTGCAGCGGCAAATAATTGGTTACCCTTGACCTCCGCAAGTGGTGCACCAAACCACCAAACCCTGTTTTCCACCCGAAAGCTCCCCGTCATGTGCGCATGTGCGATGCCCTGTCTTAGTTATCATCTCTCAATGATTGTAATAGCGAGATTCACTGGCAGCCTTTTTTCGTCCTCTGTTGACCCCTGCCTCCCTCAACCCCCTTTTTCTTCTTCCTGCTCCAGCTTTTATGAGAAGATTCACTCTGTGACTGGCTTGGCGGTCGCGGAGTTAAAGCACTTGGAGCACCACATGTTGCAGGTGGGTGTGTGACATGACTCGGTTTGTTAGTCGGTTGTTGACCTTGGCACAGAGCACACGAGCCCTACCTCCCCATTTCCGTGAGCGTGGGCCGGTGCAAGGCATAGGTTCGCAATGCAATGGCTTCCCGCCTGTAACCTAAGAGAGGCGACTTGCTGTCATGGAAATGAAGCTTACAGGCCGCCCTCACCGTTAGTCCATCCCGCCCACCGTTGCTCGCACGCAGGCCCTTGCCAAGGACGCGTATGTGTCCGTGAGCGAGCTGAACCGATACATGGGCAACTTTGCGCACAGGCACAACGAGATGGTGCCGTTCATCGACCGACCTTACTCGGGGCCACCTCCATTCCCCTTCCAGTAGAAGCTGCCTTGGTGGTATGGGGAAAGAACTGCCGCGCCTCGACCGAACGCTTGCCGTTGCAAACAGTAGAAGTACCATCATAGGGAGGGAAGTAACGTAGTTTTCTATGTCTTGAGGCGCCGGCCCCATGGGGGTCGCAATGCATGTCCTCGTGATGTTCGGTTCCCCGTCATGCTAGGGCGAAAGGTGCCGAGAAATGTGAACGTCTTGTTTCGAAACGAGTTGGTCAAGATCGGTTCTCTTGCCTTAAAGTAGTCTCATCGTATTCGACCTCGAGAAGAAACCATCGCGGCAGGAACGATGGCAGTGAGAATTGATTAACCATACGCAACGCGTTGCCCCTACCAAGAGAGCAGTGGTGTAGTCTGATACGGTCAATGAGGTCCTGCCCGGTGCACCACAGCGCGCTGTGGGAGCTGGAGTCATCATTTGACATTGCTGTAAGGTTCTACATGCGTCGTGTGTTACTTGTTGCTCTTAGATAACTATAGAATTAGTGTACGAAGGTTCGTGCGAAATAGATTGATACCTGTATTGCAATTGTTCCACTTTTTAGAATGGTTGAAGGTCTAAGGAATCAGGAGGTATTTCGGCGCCCGGCTGCCGGTTGTTACGCTTCACTTTTGTCGGGGGATAAAGTTCCCGCCTACGAACGTTCTTCACATTCCGCCCGTGTACTCAGTGACGCAAGTACTGTTCGATTCGGCCACTCGCATGGCTGAATGTACTTCGGCTGTTTTTTCTCTTGGGGTTGTGACGTCATCGGCTAGGCTGCTTCTGTAGAGGTTAGTCGGGGTGAAATATTTCAACGTGTTGCCTCAAGACTTGCAGCAAAAATTGCATCACCAACACGAACAATGTCCTATCTTCTAGTTCGACTCGCAGGTGGGAGCACGCCCGCCCGATGTTTTTCACGCGCCTAGATTGTCCTCTGATCTTCTGATTCGGCAATTATTTTAGTAGCGCGAAAACATGCATGCGTCTACCAAGATCGATGCCACAATATATTTGGCAAGCACGCGGAATTTCCACCTGAATTCGTCGCGAGTGGAGGGAGGTTCCCACCACAAGGGTGTGCGTGTGTTTAGCTTTGTCATCATTAGCAGCGCGAGCCTCACATCAATAATCAGTCCCGCGGGCGCCGGTCAAACCACAAACACACCATTGTTATGCTACCCATTGACGCCCTTGAAACTTTAGCGCCCCTCCCCCTCCCCCGCCACAAACAACGCTACCATACCAGATACTACCGTGTATCAACACCAGCACCGACGTTCCTACCTTACACCCGACACCCTATCCCTCCTGCCTTCAAAACGTACCTGTGCTGGACTTGTCTTGCCTACGCTATCCCCAACGTATGTGCATGAATATCCGCCTTTCGGTCGATGTGCGACCCAAGCTACCCAGGAGCAAACGACACCTTGCGGGGAAGGCACCAGACGAAAACACGGGATTGGCGTGCGTCCCAGCAATGTGTTCTCTGTGTTCAAAGTATGCAATAGCTTCGTTGCTATTGCCCGGCTCACATGCCGGTAGCAACAACGTATCAAGGATTGAGTGACAATCTCGTCACGGTTCTTGCTTGTACATACGGGCCTAAAGACAGCACGAAAAAGAATGTTCTACCCACAGGCGCAACGGGATCGACGAGACACAACAAAACAAGCAAGAACGATATCGAAAACAAAACGAGGGAAAGGCACACACCCAGCATTTCAGCAGCGTGTTCGAGGGGGCGCGGGGGCATGTCCCCCCCAAACACGTCCCGGGTAAAACAGAGAGGAAGCCCTCTCGCACACAACTCCATTCTCAAGCGACAACCAAGATTCAGCTCGCCCCAGGGTTCAGTCCTGGAACACTGCTTCTGTACCAACTCTGCAGCCTGCATCTGCACCATCGGAATGGATCAGTGCTCACCACTGCCGCGAAGAATCAGACGGCTACAGTAGACTCGAGAAACGACACCGCTCCGCGCTCTTCCCGTGCTTGATACATAACATGGGGTACATAGAAGCGGGGCAGAACAGGCGCGTGGTCAGAACCAGATATAATCAGCAATTATTTGGGGTCATCCATGTTTCCAAGTATGCAAGAGAAATGGTGGGGGCTTCATGCCCTGGCCAGAAGCCCAGGCCGTTACGAATGATATCATAACGTGGAGAGCGTGCGTGTTGCAATTCGGAAACGTCGCTACGTAGAAATGTCATGGATTGTGCGCACAGGACAACAGGTTGGTCCGGGGAAGTCGAATGGCCGCATCCACTAGACTTCTGAGTGACATGGCCAGCTCCAGCACGACAAACAAATGGTTCTCTTGCAGGCTGTAGGGCTGTAGGACAGCCGCCAAAAGCACGTCGCTCCCGACAGGCGAAAGCGATCGCGGGTAATCGACAACATAGCGGCCGTGACAGTTGTAATACAATATTTCTTGTTGGGCCAGCACCGCTCGAAAACCTCGTTCGTTCCGCACCCCAGTATACACTAGTAGGATTGTTTCCAGTACAAGGAATCGGTACGTCGTTGCCATCCGCGCGTGAAATGCTACCCAGGGTGTGTGCAGTGTGTGTGCATCATACATGAAGCAAACCAACACTGAATCGGAGGAAATCGATCAACCCCCTGTATGCCAAGACCACGGGAGTGGTGATGCGAAGCATTCGAGAAAACACGACATCCCCAAGAGTCGTTGCTTGCGAACGGCAATCACGAGAACATGCCATGCTGCAATGACAACGAAGTCAGGGTCAATCCTACGGCCAAACTCTCCCCACCGTCGTACCTCACAGGAAGCTCACCACCAAGCGGAACAAGCCGTCCACCTGTCCACCTCCAGTCCGACCACCCTGCCCACCAAACCCCTCCACTTGACCACCATATATTTGATCTTCCGCCTCCTCATCATCCCGACCCGAATCTTCGTTGCTGACCCTCGCCGCCTTGGCGGGGCCACCGTTGCTGCTGGTGATACTGCCGTGGCTTCCGTTTGAGGTCTGCACCCTGGTCGGGTAGGCACGGCTGAGCGCCAGCCAGCCACGGCGGCGCCATGACCTGTCGGCTGGAGCGCGCGCCAGCATTTGGCGAATGCGCTGGTGGTCTGCCTGTTTTTGTTCGTTGTTGGTGCCGGTTACACTAAACGTTCCTAACCACTCTTCAGGGGTGTATGCATCTACGTCCTCAACCTTCTCATCTGCTCCCCAACGCAGAAGGAGCTCCACAGCCGCCACACTCGACCACGAACAAGCAGCGTGCAGTGGCGTTTGATTGTACTCATCGCGTGCATTGACGTTGGCTCCTCCCTCCAACAAGGCGCGAATCGTGCCGATTGATGCTATCCGACATCTAACGGCAGTATGGAGCAGCATGTTGCAGTGGTCGTCGCTGATGGCCTTCGCGTTGACTTGAGCACCGGCTTCCTACAGCACACGGACAACATCGCCGTTGTCTTGGACAGGCCCATCAATAGCGGTAGCGCCGCGTAGGGTTGTGAATCCGCGACTATCGGTGGCGTTGAAATCACTCCTGTTCGTGTCGAGGAAGGCTTTCACGATGGTCGCATGACCGATGTTTGCAGCCTCCTCGAGCGGAGTTCTACCGCACTCGTTGTTGAGACGGCTACGATTGGCACCGGCAGCAAAAAGGGTTTCCGCAGCCCCGAGGCGTTTTTCTTCTACGCTCCGAACAGGGGCGTTTTACCGTAATGATCGTACACCTCCGTGTCTGCGCCGCCCAACAAAAGCTCAGAGATGCACAGCGCATGCCCCTGGGAAGCAGGCAGGTGGAGAGGAGTTGGCCCCTGGGAAGCAGCCAGGTAGAGAAGAATATGTCCGAATTAGTTGTTCGCGTCTCCTTGGGCCCCTTTCAGAACAAACGTACCGACAACACGGTGGTGCCCAGCTTCGGCAGCGACGTGGGGCGGACTATGGCCGTCAAAATTACGCAGATTCGGGTCTCTGCTCCAGCGACCATGAGCGCCTTCGTGGCCTCCTCTCCTCCCCGCGCTGCCGCAACGTGGAGAACGGACTCGCCATCAGCCCAGAAGAGGGTGCCGATATCAACCGTCGCCCCGGCCTCGAGTACAGCACGGACCATCTTGCCGCTGTCGCTACATACAGCCGAACCCAGTAGCGTCCGCCCATGGCATCCCCGCCAGCCTGGTTCCACGCCGGCACCAGCGTCCATAAGCCGTGTGAAGAGGTCCAAGTTTCCTTTGGCCACGGTGTGCTCCAGAGGTGCTCGAAGCCACCGCTTCCACCGCTCCGGAGTCGCCTCCTCCTTGACGAGTTTGAAGATCTCGACCTCGAAGCCGTCAAGTCGTGAGCGATCTTCACGTTTCGAAGCCGACACCGTCTTGGATTGCCCCAAGTCGATCGTTCTTGGTCTTGGTGTACGAGGTCGCTAGTGCTCTCTCCCGTTGAAATGTAGCCCTTGGTATTGTGTTGCTGCTGTTAGGCTGGGAGGTAAGAAGTGGGCGAGACACACACAGCAGTAAGGGGGTGGGAAGCGGGCAGTGGGAAGGTTGAGATCAGATGCCGCAGCAGCGATAGATGCGGCGGGATTGTACGAATTGTGACGGCGCTCCGCAGAAGCCCCCACTACCGGTACAATACAGCAGGAGCAGTCAAATGTGTCATTCTGCGGACCCCCAACTTCAACTGCTGTGACTGCACTGGCTTTCTCACCATTGCAGCAGCAGTACAGCCAGCCTAACAGCAGCAATAGAACACCACGCGGAAGGTCGCAAGAAGAGAAAGCACTACCCTCGTACACCAAGACCAACACCGAGCCAGTTGGGGCAATCCAAGACGATGTCGGCTTCGAAACGTGAAGATCGATCACGTCTCGACGACTTCGAGGTCGAGATCTTCAAGATCATCAAGGAGGAGGCACCTTCGGACACCTGGGGGCAGTGGCTTCGAGCACCTCTGGAGCACACCGCGGCCAAAGGAAACTTAGACCTCGTCAAACGGCTGGTTGACGCTGGTGCCCGCGTGAAACCAGGCTGGCGGGGATGCCATAGACATACGCTGCTAGGTGTGGCTGCATGCAGCAAGAAAGAGCGGGAAGATGGTGCGCGCGGTACTCGAGGCCGGGGGGACGGATGACATTTACGTCCTGTTCGGGGCTAAAAACGAGTCCGCTCTCCACGTTGCGGCAGCGCGGGGTACTGAAGACTCATGCATGGCGCTCATGCTCGCTGGAGCAGACCCGAATCTGCGTGATCAGGGGGGATGCAGCCCGCTCCACCTCGCTGCCGAAGGTGGGCACGATCGTGTTGTAGGCATGCTTCTTCTGAAAGGGGTCCAATTAGACGCGAAGACGGCTTCGCAGGAGACTCCTCTCCACCTGGCTTCTTCCCAGGGGCATGCGTTGTGCATCTCTGAGCTTTTGTTGGGCGGTGCAGACAAGGACATGGACGATGGTAGCGGTAAAATGCCCCTGGTCAAAGCGGTAGAAAACAACCACCTCCGGGCCGTTGAAATCCTTCTTGCTGCCGGTGCCGCCCGATGCCGTCTCAACTACGGGTGGAGTACTCCGCTCGAGGAGGCGGCAAACATCGGCCATGCGACCATCATGACTGCCTGCCTTCAAGCAGGAAGTGAGGTTAATTCCAGCTGTTGGGGTATTTGTGTTGTGCATGAACGACTCTATTCTGCTGGCGTGTTTCGTAGTCGAACCGTCAGGTGAAGGCAGCTTGGGCGCCTGTGTGTAGATAATATATCACTCTGCGTTTCCCTACCCAAGCCTCCGTCACATGCGCCAGCCACAGCATGCAACAGCCGTTGTCATGCTGTTTCCAGCGATTGTCAAGGACACACAGCCCTACACGGCGCTATCGCTATTGATGGGCCTGTCCAAGACAACGGCGATGCTGTCCGTGTGCTGTTGGAAGCCGGTGCTGATGTCGAGGCGGAGGCCACCGGCGACGGTTGTTACACGCCTCTCCATGTGGCCGTAGATCGTCGGATAGCATCAATCGGCACTACCCGCGCGGTGTTGCAGGAAGGAGCCAACGTCAATGCACGCGATGAGTACAATCAGACGCCACTGCACGCTGCTTGTTCGTGGTCGAGTGTGGCGGCTGTGGAGCTCCTTCTGCGTTGGGGAGCAGATGAAAAGCTCAGGGAGTTCAACGGAGGCACGCCCACAGACATTGTAGGAATGTCAGTTGTGGACGGCACCAACAACGAACAAAAACAGGCAGACCACCAGCGCATTCGCCAAATGCTGGCGCGCGCTCCAGCCGACAGGTCATGGCGCCGCCGTGGCTGGCTGGCGCTCAGCCGTGCCTACCCGACCAGGGTGCAGACCTCAAACGAAGATTTGGGTCCTACAGCCCTACAGCCTGCAAGAGAACCATTTGTTTGTCGTGCTGGAGCTGGCCATGTCACTCAGAAGTCTAGTGGATGCGGCCATTCGACTTCCCCGGACCAACCTGTTGTCCTGTGCGCACAATCCATGACATTTCTACGTAGCGACGTTTCCGGATTGCAACACGCACGCTCTCCACGTTATGATATCATTCGTAACGGCCTGGGCTTCTGGCCAGGGCATGAAGCCCCCACCATTTCTCTTGCATACTTGGAAACATGGATGACCCCAAATAATTGCTGATTATATCTGGTTCTGACCACGCGCCTGTTCTGCCCCGCTTCTATGTACCCCATGTTATGTATCAAGCACGGGAAGAGCGCGGAGCGGTGTCGTTTCTCGAGTCTACTGTAGCCGTCTGATTCTTCGCGGCAGTGGTGAGCACTGATCCATTCCGATGGTGCAGATGCAGGCTGCAGAGTTGGTACAGAAGCAGTGTTCCAGGACTGAACCCTGGGGCGAGCTGAATCTTGGTTGTCGCTTGAGAATGGAGTTGTGTGCGAGAGGGCTTCCTCTCTGTTTTACCCGGGACGTGTTTGGGGGGGACATGCCCCCGCGCCCCCTCGAACACGCTGCTGAAATGCTGGGTGTGTGCCTTTCCCTCGTTTTGTTTTCGATATCGTTCTTGCTTGTTTTGTTGTGTCTCGTCGATCCCGTTGCGCCTGTGGGTAGAACATTCTTTTTCGTGCTGTCTTTAGGCCCGTATGTACAAGCAAGAACCGTGACGAGATTGTCACTCAATCCTTGATACGTTGTTGCTACCGGCATGTGAGCCGGGCAATAGCAACGAAGCTATTGCATACTTTGAACACAGAGAACACATTGCTGGGACGCACGCCAATCCCGTGTTTTCGTCTGGTGCCTTCCCCGCAAGGTGTCGTTTGCTCCTGGGTAGCTTGGGTCGCACATCGACCGAAAGGCGGATATTCATGCACATACGTTGGGGATAGCGTAGGCAAGACAAGTCCAGCACAGGTACGTTTTGAAGGCAGGAGGGATAGGGTGTCGGGTGTAAGGTAGGAACGTCGGTGCTGGTGTTGATACACGGTAGTATCTGGTATGGTAGCGTTGTTTGTCGTAGACGGGGTGGCGGGGGGAGCGCAAAATGTTCAAGCGCATCCATTGGTAGCATAACAATGATGTGTTGGTGGCGCCATACTTTATAACTTGCTCTAGTTGATTGAAAGAGACCCTGCGGTACACCATCAATTATACCTGCGTCCGTTGTCGTAGTGATGCCGCCGGTTTGGGCTTCAAGTCGTTCATTGCGAAGAGCACAATGGAGCACAGCTCACCCCCGTCGCCTCTCAACCGCATAGGGAGGACCGCAGGACCAACAGCGGTAGGAATAAATTATCGCCCTTCCCGAAGCTGTTATGAGTACACCCAAAGCTGCTTATGCCGGGCGTATCGCGTTCTGGTCGCAGCACCTTGCAAGGACAGAACCTCGTGATGAAGGACGAGACGGACTGTAATATATATGTTGCAAGACGATACAATACAACAAGTTGTGAGGGCAACTTGGGTGAAACATGAAGACCCCGCCGTGTTTGTACTCTGACCAAGCGCATCGCCCACTGCATTCAGAGGGTGTCGCCATGCAAGGATGGCAGTGTTTAACTTTTGGAACGTTCCCTCGCAAATCAGCCGAATGTGGCCGAATCGCTTTATGTAAGCGTGCTTACTTTGCTGGCCACCAGGTTTCCCGCGACTTGCGGAACATGCCTATTCTACCTTAGCGCACTATGTCACGACCAGCATGGGGCTGTATCTTTCTGCTCGACTGGAAAAAACATGGATTTGGCCAGCAGGCGCGCGGCGTCTATGCTGAGGAGGTGGTGTTTTGTACTTTTCGTCCCTTTGCCTGTGATGCGAGGTGAACCGCTCCATGCGCTGGCGAGGGCTGGAGTTAGGGGAGGCAGGGCCGTGAACCTCGTCATCGCAGCTTTGTTGAGCTCAGAGAATTCAGCTGTGGCGAAGAAGAAAAAAAACAAAGGCACCAAAAGCACTTCAACAGAATGCTAATGTGGGCAGAAGAGAAACAGTGCTTGCGTTTGGCACCGGGGTCGTTTCGTGTAAAAATCCCTACGATAAGTCAAGGTCGAGGTCTCACGAAGGCACCGCCGTGATCTCGTGCGCGTAGCTTTCATGAGCTGAGAGAAACTGTCCAATAATCACTTACATTACAAGTTGTTTCGTTCTGGGGGAAGTACGTGTTCGAATCTGGGGGTAGCGACCAAGCATCCACATTTGTGCGATATCACCCAAGGCGATCCAACAAACCGTGCAACCTGCCAGTGGAGGGCACACTCTGTTCACGCGCACTAATTAGTCGGAATTCTGGATTCGGACGAACAGGGCGTCTGCATTCCTCGCAAAATCCATGACACGCTCATGCGAAGCGCAAACTAGAGGAAGATAAGAATCCCTTGGCGGTTTACTTATAGAAATCGTTGGGTGTACATAGTTTAGATCGAAGCCCGTCAGTAAACACTGTTCGTTTTCAACAGGTCGGGAGAACGTCAGGCTATCTATCACCCGCACTGATCGGGGGTGAGTTATCCAGCTACGAGTGGTAAATTTTCAACAGGGGGGGGTTCCATACCATAACAAACAAGAAACAGTATGTCAAACCTACGCGGAATACCGTAGTACTAGAGAGCCTAGACCGCACCTTCCTACTCCAACTTGACTCACCATCCATGCAGGTTTCTGCACAATTTTAGGGAATTTCATGAACTTCCGTGCCAAGAGACCGTGCAATCCGGAAGAGGGACGAGGGAAACCAAGCAAAAGGCAGACCCAACGCCCCTCCAAGAAATAGTAACCCACCCGAATAGGCCAAGACAAATAGACGGATTGATGTCGTCGACTCTGCAATCGCCGTCCAAGATTGCAGAGCTTTAGTCTTGCCCGACTGAAGCAATGGTGCATTCTTCTCGCTCTCTCTCTTCTTGCGTGTACCTTCACACGGCGACACAGATTGAACCATGCTCTATACAACACGCAACAATTCCCAGATAACAACCAAGGAAACCCAAACCTACTATAAACACAACTGGGGAGAGATCCAAGCAAAAGGTTCTCAATCGCCAATTTAATACTTGAAGTGCCTGGTACATCAGTCGGACCCTCGTCGCGGCCCAGATGAAGGGATGCCAGAATCTGAATCCCAACTTCGAATGAGGCCAAAGAAAAGACACAGACAGACGAAACGAGATACAACTGCTGGGTAGCTTTGGGACATTCACACGTTACATACATGCCTTGTACGTTACATGTACCGCGGCAACACGCGTTCATTTGCCTTCTTGGAAAGATATGATAGATGCAACGTTACTTCGCAAGGTAGTGAGGTGTGACTTGAGACCGATATGTCTCAGATGCAAACCAACCCTCAACCCTAAACCCTAAGCCACTCTTTACATTACACACAACCAAGGAATATATATACGGAGACAAGTCTGACGAATAAAACGAGGAGCATGTCTTCAATGAGCAGGTACTGACGACGAGCTTGGTGGCTGAGAGGCGCCAATCAATCGTGACGCCCAGTTCCCGAGATGGTGTCATAAACGCCTCCCATCCATCCGGTAGCAAATGGACGTAAGTGACGGGAAACTGTGGTGGTCTATAGACAAGCTATGTGCCGGCCCCCACCCTACACCTCAACCCTCATTCGAATCCAGATTTTCAATGACGGGACTTACAATTACGTGTCCTGAGCTTTAATTCCTGCAGTGGTTGTCCAGCGTTGGAAGCAACAACACGTACGCAGTACCTACATGTAGTCTTAGCACACACCGAGTGACAAATCCAACGGGCTTACTTGCAGCAGTAAGAGGGTCGAACTACCTCCCTGTTCAACTCGACATTTTATTCGACGAGACGAAGCAGCCGCTGATGACAGCAAGGTCGTTGATGAGATTTCCTCCACCTGGACACATCTTGCTCGTGTCAAACGCTCCCTTGCCTCTGTGTCGTTGACCATCGAGTGAGCGGTTTCGATCCCGACGACGACGGCTAAACCACCCGTACGGTCGGCCAAAGTCTGAAAGGCCCCTTGAAAACGATTGCCACCGGCTTGCCTAGCTGGATGCATCGCCGGTATATGGAGAACAAGGTGCATTGTAGGATCGCATACCTGGGCCCCCCAAAAAAATCATCACACCCACGGATAACGACGAGGGAAGAGGGGCCCATCAAGTGGGTGGGGACAAGCGGACGTTCAGTATGCCCTCGGCTGAGAACCAACGTGTAAGGATAGTCGCGTCCATAGCTATTGACGACACATGCGTGGTGTACAGAGAAGGCGAATTTGAATAAGAAGCATATTTTCAGTGGTGGACGCGAACGGGTTCAAAGTGCTCTGACGATAACCTCGAAGGTGTGAACAGACACCTGTCTGTGAGGTTTCCTCAAGTGCGTGTGCGTAACGAACGGAGAGGAGGTACCCGCAGCAAAAGCCCTGTTCCTTCCCATGATAATCGCGATTATCTTACTAAAGTGTCAAGCATAATCCCCTCAAAAGTGTTGAACAAGCTATCAGACTTTGCGCCTAAAAATCATGACTGGTTAAACTTCAGAACATCAATCCAGGCTACGAGGGGGAGATGGGCATCAAGCTAGAGCGACCAGCAGGACTCACGCAATTAGCACGTGCCACCAGGCGTGTCCTTCGGGGTTCGGCATTGGTCCGCTCTGAAGGTGGCTGCAGAAGTGGAAGTCAGTCTGCAACGATACAGACCAGGGGCGAAGCGCACGCAGAAGAGGTTGAGGGTTAGCGGCGACATCGATCAACCAATAGGATAGACAATATTGAAGCCGTGGAGGTGAGCAATTTGGCCAAGGAAATATTTGCGCTTACCGCCCAAAAGAAGGAAGCCAATGCGGTTGACATCACCGCCCTCTTGAGCAAAACCGTGGCAGGATCAACTCCCTTCTCGCGGCTCACGTAGATGCACCTTGCCAGGTTGGCGAGGCCCCACACGATGAAGTGTATCTGGAATCCGGTCGTCCAGCGATACGTGTTGTGCAAGAGAGCAAACCCCTACGGAGTTGTGGCGAGTTAGGGGACGCCGACGGAGAGGGTCGGGGGGGGGGGGCAGAAGTTTTTCAACGAGAGGCATAAGTATCGCGCCGTTCCACAGGTCACCTCAGTATCTGACATCGTTGCTGAATGCAGACAACAACAAACCACCGTCCCCGATCCAAAGTACCTCGAAGAATTCCCCAAAAGAAACTTCAGCATCACTGAGGTCCTGAGAAACTCCATATTTTCGCCATCATACTTTCACCTCCATTTGGTTTTGAAACGATTTCCCGTCGTTGGAATTCTGAGCATTTCTCGTCCACAATCAGTCCAGGAACCCCAACTAGAATCACCCGTTTTAGGTATCAAAGTTCATCGCACGTAGATGTAGCCGTTGCAAGCCTCTAGATCCAAGGGGATTGTTGCTAAAATGATAATTGTTTTTGTCAAATTCCTGTTGGAAATCGCTTCAAAGGGGGGCGAGAACTGTGGGTTGACAAGGAGCGAGCGTGCGCGCGGAACCCCACAAGCAAGTGACCAAAGTACAAAGCGAGACGCCCATGTCGCAAGCACTTGTTCAAAATATTTTCCCTTTGTGGCGGATCGTTTCTTCTCACCAGACCGTACACGACTAGCAGCACCGGCATCGCCTCTCTAAGAAATCTGTTGCTCTCCCATGTGTCCGCGAATAGCTCGTGAAACCAGTTCAGCATAGCCAAGACCATCGGGGTCTCGTCGCATTGCTGCTCCGCATGCCTCAGGGTGCAGTGGAAGCAGGCGCTGCCGATACCAACACTCGCCACCAGGAGCTGAGAGACCTGCTAGCACGTAAAATGTAGGGAACACAACACCGAGTCATGTACTGCTATTTTTCATCTCGTTCTGTTTCACCCGTCGAGACGTGCCTTGTCATGTCTTCGCGCACTCCGAACGAGATAAGTTATCCTTCAGGCGTGCTTCTTGATCGTGGCGCACACTTTCTGTATATGGCATGCAAGCGGCGAGTCGGGCGGTGCCCATCGTGCAATACCCCTATTTTCTTCGGTCGTGTGGAGCTGTTCACTCAGTCATGTTCTCTGTAGTAGTACCCCGGTGAATACGTTCACCCCTGAAAACAAAAAACAATGTCCACTCTAGGCGAGAGAGGGGGGGTAAGACGAGCTTCTCTTTGTCAACCGCATGCACACATTACCTGGAACCTTATCTCGAGATCGTCGGCGACGGCCATAAACCATCCAAACACGCCCGCGAGAAAAATGGCCAATGAGCTCACCTGCAAATCACAGGTCATCCGGAGGTACAACCGTATACGACGTATAGTATGCATCATGGATTGGTGAGCTATGTTGAGCCGTGTTCTTTCATTGAACATGCCTGACGTGCGGTCTTCTTTCGCAACGAAACCTACTTGTTGTGGCAAACCAATGAGTTGTGATGCGCGCACTCATGACTTCACCAGGACATTTTTTCGTCAACTTCGCACGCAACGCGAACAACAATATTGTAGCTTGCCGGCGTGGTTTTCTATCGCACTACTACTACTGTCCAATGTTAGGAAAAATAGACATCGAACTTCATTGCTGCGGAGTGCGGTCAAGCGGCGTGCCATGCTTCACAAGGACTGTAGCATAAAATGTCACGATGAGCAGCCTTGGAGAGGCACAGGAAGCGATTCGATGAAGAGGTCGTAGGCTGGCTACTGTAGAAACGGGCAACGATGGTACTTCGGAGGATCCGTAATTTACAGACGAAAAAACACTGCTCATTGAAAACTGACATACTCGCCGTGTTCCAGAATTCCGCAATGAAGTAAGACCACGCGTAATTCTCTTCGCACCAATCTATCGTCGCCGTCACCTGTCGTATGCAGGCGCGCAAAGCAGGGTGATCGAGACAAGAGCTTGTCGATATTTGGACGATAATTATCGTGGGTACGCAGATAACGATAAATGTGAGAGCCGCTTCTCTTGGCTCTAACTTTTCCGAAAGAGCCAAAGAGACATACCTACGGATTATACCCACCCGTACACACCATCCTGCTACTACTGTATCTCACGTCTTCCTGAGTGCTCTATCATCGCAGTCTGTGGTTTCCTCCGAGGGCCTTCCCCCACCCCCCTGTCCACCACTCCCTTTGCCGACATGAACGGTCATCGATATGGAGGCCGTGGTCTACTGCTGCTTGTATATTTTGGTACTTTCTCCAGAAATTATAGTCTAGACCGCTGCCTCCAATCTACAACCTGACGATGTTGGGCCACACATTGTCGGCCCGCCTCAACGTATGTACTTGTTCACTTTGGTAGTGGCCTTGGGGCTTTTGAGGGCACGCGCTCTATTAACCAAGCTGCAGCTTCAGGGCAGAAGCGCCGCTAATGATGGTCGTGGGTAGAGAAACATCAACGTTGGCTGCGTTGGTATATAGCCAGTGCGGGCGAATGCAGACCAATATTCGCCGCTGCTTCAAATTAACCACGGCGCGCATGTTTCCTACACAACAGAGGAAGAACACGAGAGAACACCTCATGCTGCTTTCAACTCCACACAGCAGTAATTCCACGATGGCGACTCTCTACATTTGAAAGTCCTTCCTCTGCGCTTCGTGAATCTCGGAGCCACAAAGGCAGTTCAACACCGCCTCCTATCTGCCAGGTTTCAAACTTCAAAAATGTTTGGCTTGGTTTTTCTCATACCGGGCCCCAGTATCCGTGCTCTGACATGTCGCTCGTCATGGGTCGTCTCCCCGACAATTTTTCGCGACCTATCCAGCAGCACACGTCTCTCTCGCTGCTGCTGCCGTGACAGAATGTTCAGAAGTGGCCTAGCTCGCGGCTCCTTCAGCGGCATCGTAGATGGGCAACAGATCTACGTAGATTTGAGAACTTCGGAGATCGGGGGCTCACCACAAGCAAGCACATCCCGCACTTTCCCGCAAATGGATCGCAAGCGCACCACCTCTGCCTTGGTTCAATATGCGAAGGAAACCTTCGTGGAGGACACTCGCGAGACTACTTTGGTCGCTCCAATTAGTCCGTCTCCTGAAAGTATGATTGAAACGTGAGTTCTGTTGACGAGAGAGGCAAACTTGAACTGGTTTACACTACAAAGGTTCTCTGCAAAGCAGCGCTTTGTATGGAGGCAATATGCTAAGTATGTCCTTGCCTAGTTAACATACGCTAACCACCGGTTGTGTGTTGGCGGGATTTCTGTTGACGAACTTGCTCGTGTGTTATACTATTTTCAGTGTAACGAGGACGAGGGCACTGAAAGCAGCCAAGGGAAATCTCGCCGCGTTCGGCGGAGAGATGCAAATGTGTAAAAGTAGCGCATCGAAAACGAAAAATAAAAAAAACAGGTTATGCTTGGGTTGTGTGGCAAAACGTGAGACTTCTGGGTGAACGCCAAAAAAAAGGAGCAACCTGTGGACTCTTTTTTGCTGTCTCCGCTGCGACTGACAGGGTACTCGATAGCCTCCAGCTTGAACCGCATGACATTGTGGTAGACCTGGGATGTGGTGATGGAAGATGGCTGCTTGCTGCGGCGCGAAGAGGTTGTGCAGGCCGAGGCTTGGACCTAAACGAAGATCTGTTGCGCAAAGGACGCCTTGCCGCTGCGGAAGCAAGGGTGAGGTGTGAATTAACACTGGATACCAAGCACATCGCACAGAGCGAACAATTTGCGAGTTTGCTGCGCAACGACTAGAAGTTCCGGTTGGCGCGCCAACGTCTGGGGAAAGGTGTGAACCCTTTCCGAAGAGCTAGCTGGTCTCCGCAGCGGATGCCTATTCGAACCGCTACTACTCTGTGTAAACTGCGATGCCGCATAGAGCACCTCCACGAGAGACTTTTTTCTGCTGCGAAAAATCTAGGCACAGGGGATGCCACTGCACCAATTTCGGCCAATAGACCGGATCTTCCCCATTCGTTGGTTTGAGGCAGAGCAGAGAGCGCACCCCACGCAAGCACGCGTAAAGCTTGCTATCTGCACCAGCCAGCGCGCTGAGAGTGGGCTGTATAGTCCTTCTAGCCCTACTAGTCTTGTCACACAAAACCCCAAGCCATAAAGGGAATTCTGAAGGAGTAACGAGTGTGGAAAGTAGATGGCTCTCTTTGAGAAATATCGCTGAAAAATATCGGGAAAAGTCGTCAAGTTGCCTTCAAACAAGCATATAAAAAAGGAGCGACCACGCTCGACGCCTGAAAGCGTACATCAACGACTGCAGCCGTAATTCCCACGGAAGGGTGACTGCCAGAGGTTGCCCTATACCATGCAGCCACTTTCATACCGTTGATACGTGGTAGGCATCAGCGTATGGACCCATGGCCAGGCTTGTCTTCGTTCCTGTATCAACTCAAAAAAAGACATGTTTGCTGTACACAGCAAAAATCACCAGCATGGGCGTCAAGACGTGCCAAGCAATCTCTGACCTCTCAGGTCAAGGATGGAGCTAAAACTTGCGGGGCTTCCACCTCTGATGGTGGTTTCCGTCCGTGGCCGTGTAGTTTGGCTATCTGCTGGCTTTGTCGCTACGTTTCACTCTGCATGTACAACGGCCGGGGCGAGAGAGCGGGGATCAGAGACCATGCCGTACAACGAACCGTGTTTCCGCAAGAATCATTTTTTCTCGACAAGTTGTCTGTCCTTTTCTCGCCATCGCGCGCTCTCGTTTTGCTCGCCGTTTTGATTCATGATATATCGCGATACGTAACCTGAGTGAGAGCAAGCTCACCCCCAGTCGGAATTCAATGAGTAAGGGTGGCTGCGTTCAAGGTTCTAACATCATGGGGGACCCATGAGGCCAAAGCACACTGCGTTTTGCTCCTACTCAAAGATTGCCGGAGAATTTCCACTTGTTGTTCCACAAAGAAGAACAAAGATAAAACAATGTTTTCTTTGAATTTGCGGTGGATAAAACCGACAGCAGACCTTTTTCTCTCACCTGTGGGCGAGATTAGAGCAACCGATCTGAAAGCTATTCGCCACACTGGGTAGCATGGATCTATACGATCATCACGCACGCGTCGCTGCACGTGCCGCAGCACACAAGAGCCTAGCTGCTTGCAAGCGCTGCCTAAGCTGGCATACTGTGTTGCAATTTCGGGTGTCTGACGTACTACGAGGAAGATCCGGTCCATTTGTGCTTGGTTTTCCGTTAGAAAACGAGCAAAGCCCTTCTCCTATGTCGGGTTTGCTCGTTTCACAAGCAAGGTAGGTACGGGATTAAACGAAGTGCCCAAGAAGCCCAACGTTTCCACGGACGGAAAGTGAACACAGCAGTTGGGACCAGCAAGTTTTTTCCTTTATTCTTGGCCCAAGAGGTAAGAACTCGATTGCAGTGCAATCCGTTCTCGCGTTCTCGTTGTTGTTTTTTTTTCGACCGCATCACCGACTTGAATTGGATATCGAAACCCCAAAACTAGCTTTTGTGGCCCACAGGTCACGCCGTAGCGCTGCACCAATCTATTTCTTACGGGCATGGGGTTGTTCGGAACCTCTTGGTCTCTCGAAACGTTGAGTATTGCGGCCACAGTTGTACCTTGAAGCACCAGGAGCGGGGGGCTGACTGTTCCTTTTTCATGGGCTTGTTTGAATACATGTTGGACAACTTTTTTTTCGTATTCACCCGCGATATTTCCCATCTACATTCCACACTCGTTACTCCTTCAGAATACCGTTTTGGCTTGGAGCTTTGTGTGACAAAGGCTAGTAGGGCTAGAAGGACTATACAGCCCACTCACAGCGCGCTGGCTAATACAGACAGCAAGCTTTACACGTGCTTGTGTGGGGTGCGCTCTCTGCTCTGCCTCAAACCGACGAATTGGGAAGATCCGGTCTATTGGCCGAAATTGGTGCAGTGGCATCCCCTGTGCCTAGCTTTTCGCAGCAGAAAAAAGTCTCTCGTGGAGATGCTCTTTAAACTATCCGCATAAATGGTGATGTTAAGGAGGACCCGATTCGCAGGGTATCCGTTGATTGACTTTTACTTGAATCGGTACACCTTCGCGCATGACATCAGCTGGACACTGGTTCAAATCTCCTTGGGCGCACACTTTTTCTCCTGACTTGGACATTTTCCCATGGACGCAATGTGTGTCAGTCCTGAGAACACCTCGTGGAGTCGATCCTACAAAACATCTTGTGACGCTTCCATCGAATTGCCCACAGAATTTACTCGGCAGTGATAATTAGTGATGTTGTGTAGTGCAAAGTCACATCTCGCCAATGGAGAGAGAATGCGAAAGAATGTCGTCTGTTGTTGCTGGCCAAACTCTGTAGCACACTTTGTCTCTGTGCACTTATCTTGTGCGTTAGCGCTGACTAAATGTCCTACAGAGACAAGATTGTAGTGGAAAAATCCTTCCCGGCTGTCTGTACTGTATGTCATGAAACCGTACTGCACAGGTGTCTTCCTTGGTTGAGCTAGACAAGGAAGACATATTCGTCGCGCCACTAGCAGGGAGCACGGTGATCATCGTCTACCTGTTCAGAGAGGTGAGCGATGTGTCACCCTGGAAATTGTTACGAGAATGCGTGCGAATCGTTGTTATTGCCGCTGTTGTCTTCACCGAACAACCTGAACTCTACGTTGCCTACCTCCTCTTGCGTACTATTAAGGGCGCAGAACATTGGGATTTGAAGCAAAAGTCAGAGCTGTAAAGCTATACCTATATTGCCGCAATATCGTGCGGCGACTGTAGTAATACGTGATGCTAGGGTGGCACTAGCGCCTTCTGGTAAAGGACGCTGCACACAATAGTGCGCCAAATTCACCGAGAGGTATTTTGTTCACGGTAATGATCGTAGTTTTGTACAGTATTGTAATTGTATTATTGTACAGTATGGTATGAATCACAATTGTTCTGATACGCTCGTGGTCGCAGTCGACAGGACCCCCTACGAAATCTTCCAGAGGACTTGTTTTGTATTTTTCGTTGGGCGTCGATACCCTACTCTTTCAACAAACTCGTGTCAGCGACTCTTCCGGCTTGACCCCATGGCATATTCGCCTACGTTCCGGTTGCCGCTGCTTGTCGGCCTAACCTGTCAGGGTCTGGCCAAGATGAAAGAGAAGCTGGAAGCTGAAGCCGACCCTGGTGCCCGCGTCGTGTCGGTCGGGGTGAGTTTCGGTTTGCGTTAAGTGCGCCATAGCGTAGCCCGCTTAATAAAACGCACGCCAACTGACACGGCAACCAACGCCGCCAATAATATTTGCTGTGCACGCTCGCACTGAATGCTTTTTGTCCCAGTTTCAGATAAGGGGCTGGGTCTCGGTGGCGACCTTCGTGGTCGAAGGACTGCATGCCTATATCTACCAGGTGTCCGACCGAGGCGATTCTTCTTCTGGTAGAACTATCGCCGGCATCGCTCCAAAGACTAGATAGCAACGCTTTGTCGTTTTCTAGTCTTGCACAGGAAGTCCATACAACGAAAGACATGAGCGAGGTGGCGTTTGTGTGGCTTTTCGCATGTCTCTTTTTTGTCGTGAACGTAGGGTATAGAGAGCAAGTTAAATCCTTATCTTGTTGCACATCATGAAGGCTCGATGAAAACCGTGTCCTTTGTCTTAGCCTGAGTTGATGTAGCGTTTACGAAGCCCCAGCGCGTGCGGTAAACCGTATGTCGATTTACTGGTGTCCACGTGTTTCCTTTCCGTTTTTATTTTTTTTCGGGTTTGATCGCCTACAGGTGTGTCTTTTGCAATGCATGCGTTGTCGTCTGTTTGAGGATTTTCTAGATCTATTTTGTTCCCATTTAATTTTTTAATGTGTGTACCTTTAATGGGGTAATTGGGCTGCGACCATGGAAGGCGCCTGGCTCGGTTGGAACGGTAAGGATGTTGCTGAGCAGAGACCGCAACGACTTTTAATGCGAAGACAAGAACATGAACAAGAACAAAACAACAACAACAACAACAACAACAACAACAACAACAACAACAACAACAACAACAACAACAACAACAACAACAACAACAACAACAACGTTTTGAACCTGAGTGCCGTGTGCCGTGTGCACCAACTGCAGTTTTCGGCATCAGCACTGACAAAAGACGTCGTTGCATGAATGGGCGGCACTCGACAACGTACGGTGTGTCCGTTCTAACACTTGCCTTCCTCTCAGTTTTTACCCAAGTATTTTAGACTAGACTTGTAGGTATCTGACACGGTTTGTTGCTGCGGTATGAAATTCCGGCCTCCCCCAACCATCCCCATTATTCTGTCTCTCGCTGATCCGTTTCCAGTGTCTAACGCACTGGCTCCCCCCCACCAGTCGAACGCCCCCCCTCCCCCTCTCCCGTTCATCTCGCGCGCCGAGGGTCGTTCCGAGATCAGTGTTGACTGGTGTTCCTCGCCCGGTATTGAGCTGTGGTTGCGTTCCACGCTTGTCCGTGCCGAAGCAGTAGCGCTTCCATTGTCGGATGAAACGCTGCCGTCCACTCGGCAATTTTTCTTACCCTGCCCGGCGTTTGTTGTTTTGTTGCTGCTCATGAGCTGTGCTAGGGAAATGGAGTCATAGGGGCTCTTACCCGCGGCGCCTGCTATCGCTCCCCTGCCGTCGTTGGCGATTTTCCCGCGGTTCTGCGCAGAGAGATGACCACTGCCTGCAGCGACAGGCCGGGCACTCTTCGGATCCGGCTTAGGTACCCAGACCGGTGGTTCTCTCGCTGCTGCCGCCGCTCGAGACTTCCTTGCCGAGACGAGCTCCTTGCTCGCGTTATTCGTCCGGTAGTCGTCCTCCGCACCTGGCTCGTTCTTTGTCAGCATGCCACTGCTCAGGTGCGAGACGAAGGCCTTCGACCCCGGGATGAGACGCCTACCTCCCGGTGTCCACGCGGCTCCTTCTGCCACTCGCCCGAATCTCCCGCCCCCTGCCGGTGGCGGGAGTGGCTTCCCGGCATCATCACCCTCAGTGGCCCCTGGTCGTTGGAAGCGTCCTATGGAATCATCATCTCCTTCGTTGGTGCTGCCAAAGAGAATCTGGGAGTCGAAAGTTCTCGACAGCACCGCGGAGCGGAGCAGTCGGTTTTGGTCGCTCGGTCCGATGCCGGAGCGGCCGCCGAGCCCGGATCCGGCGGCACGACTCTCTCTCAGGCTGTTGAACGACCCTTCGCGGCCTTCATTCGGCGGGGGGGGCAACGGCGTGGAGCCGTAGAGGTCGTTTCCGGTCCTAGGGCTGCCGCCTTTGGTGGTGTCTCCGCTGGCGTGGAATTGACGGCGCGATTGACCGTGACAGTGTCTCCTATTCGTCTCTTGCTGCTACGTTGTCGGAATGTTACACAAACGTGGGACCGGGAAGGGGTAGGAGGTATTTCGGAGTTCAAGCACACAAGACTAAAGGGCAAAGTTGACACTCGTCTTCAATCCCAACCACCGACCGAAGAGCAGTCGCGGAGTATGTTGTGGCGATCGCGTCAATGCTCGGTTTCAGCACATAAGCGGGAGGTTTCCGGTCGAAAGTTGAACCTCCTTCCGCCTTTGACATACCAGACGGGTAGGCGGCAAACACCATACGTCCTAGAATCTGAGTCTGGAGAAGCTGCTTGAATGTAAGGAGGGAGATACAGGCGTGAAAACAAAATAACTTCTGGTCGTGACCTACACCTGTCAGCTTAGTTCTCATACGTGCAGTGGCAAAGCCCTTCCTTGTTTGCAGTTGACTCTCCCACCCTCGGGGAACCGAATGATTAATTTCCAATGGAATATACGTCATTGTCTCTTGCCTGATGGGGAGGGTTTCGTTCGTTAGAACCGCCGTCGCCTCTGGTATAGCCGCCCGGGGGCACAAACAAACCATCTTGGGTGTTGGCAACGCCAGCGACGCCGCTTGGGCCACGCCTGTTTCAGGGGAAAAACGAGGAGAAACAGATTCCACAAAGGGGACTAACTTAATGATGAAACCTTCTTCGTCAGCAGTGCCTTCAGTGTATCTGGACAGCGTGGCGCCCTTTCATAGTGCAGAAAAGACAACGAAGTGCATGTTCGATCGAAAACGACTCCAATGATGAAGTCTTCATGTCAAGGTTTTAGAAATGCCTGCCGAAACTCCTAGGGGCTCGCAGAGTAACAGAGGACTTACATGCGCCAGCAGCTCCTCAGTAGACGCTCGAAGTATCCATCGTCTGGGATGGTGGCCGAGATCACATCGTAGTGCCGCCTGAAGTCCTCTTTCGTGACTCTGACTCCATCCTGCTGTCGATGCATGAGATTTGTTGCGGCCGCCCGGGTTTTTTGTTACCAGTGCCGATGCTGAGTCGATTCTGGCGCTATACGGCTACATGTTAGTGGATTTTCCCAAGTTCCATGATCAGGAATTGGCCTACACGTAGCACGCTCATGATGGAAGCTTAGCACAGGCGTAGCCACACTACAGGGGGCTGATGCCAGGGGAGCCAAGTTTCGAACATTTAACTTCAATTTAGCAATAAATGGCATGCTTGTAGCTCCTGCTTTAAGCAAGCGCAGCGGGACGATCTGGTTACTCACAAATTGTCTTGTGAGGAATCGGTGCTGCCACCGTGGAAGATTGCGTACAAATCGCCTAAATAACCACTCCTCCATGGCTTTCGCACTCACCCTTTTCTCTTGGGGAAAGCCTGCGATAAACCCGTCAACAAAGTCTCTGAACACCGAGTCCGGTGTCTGGCGACCAGAAACAACGGCAGGGTGCTTCGTGGCATCGAAAGAATCGATGACCTGAAGGAATCAAGCACGTCGCGCGGGATGGTTGCGCAGACTTGGCACTACCGTAGCAGGTCGGGAGACGAACAGTGCGGGTAGGCCCCTACGTCCACGTCACGTGACACCAGCACAACTTGCCTCCGGTAAGCAAAATGAGTGTTTTCTTTTTTTTAGGAGTTTTTTCCGCGCGCGAAGCGCGCGTGCGAAAATAAAAACGGAGCGATAGCGGAGTTTTTTTTTCGCAAAAAAACTGTTTTAGATGGGTCCTTTTGTTTCCCCGCCTGGGTTCTGCGCACGTTGAATAACACCGCCTGTCAGCCCGACCCCTGAATTA